GAGGGCTGGTGAGATGGCTTAGTGGTCTGGAGCACCTACTTGGAACAAGCTTAGCAAAGCACAGGGACTGCGGTTCAATCCCCCAGCACCACATGCCAGCCAGCCCCGCCCCCTGGTGGGCTGAGCTGGCCACACACGCACACACATAAATAAATAAATAAAATGTAAAAAAGAAATAAAAGACCTTTAAAAAAAGGTGGGGCCACGCCAGCCCTGAGCGTCTGCCGGGGCAGAAGCCCAGAAAGACCATCGCTCCCTCTCAGAGGCCATGCATCGCCTTTGATTAAAGCACACTGGCAGCACTTGGTCAGGTCTTAGATGGGAGTGAGGGTTCAGAGAGCTGAACACCCAGGGCCTGCTCCAAGGAACTCCAAATGATGACAGAGGCGAAGACAGGCAGATGAGGTCGGAAGCTGAGCCAGAAGGACCCCCCTCCAGTTGTTTTTTTTTTTTTTTTGGTTTTTTTTTTGGTGGAACCGGGGATTGAACTCAGGTCCTTGCACTTTCCAGGGAAGCACTTATTCCACTGAGCCATCTCCCCGGCCCCTCCCCCTCCAGTTTTGAAGACCAACCTGGGGGACACTGTGAGTTCAAGGTCAGAGTGAACTGCACAGGGAGAACCTGCCTCAAAAAAACCCAACAAAATCAGAGGGAATGTAAATTGGTGGCTATCGTTAAAGAATATCACAAAGGCCATCTTGACTCATGTTGAAATCAGTGCCGTCCCCTTTCCTGATGGAGACCACGAGGAAGCAGCTCTGCGCAGGCCTGAAATGAGCCCACTGGCTTTCTGTGCTTGCTTGTGAGTCTGCTCCAGGCCTGGGCTGCTAGTCTGGAGATGCACTGTGGATGCCTAGCAAGGAAACCTCAGTGAGTCCCTGGTCCTGGCTGAGGCCTGTCGTGGCCATAAGGCCTCAAAGGACGAGACAAGGCCCCAGCTGAGGACACCTGGCTCAACTCCAGCTAACTAGATAAAGACCAGTGCGGCAGGCATCTCACACCCCAGGCGAAGGCCTTCCTGGATATCACAGAGCTCTTCTGAATTAATCACAGATTACCTGGAGACTACCTTGAGCTGACCCCCAAGGTCCTGCTCAGTTTACTTCTCTACTCTAACCCCTTCCTTTGTATGAAAACCAAATAAATACCTGCTGCCCTGGGAGATTCTTTGTGTCAACCCCCAGGGAGCCTCAGATTCTGCCAGAGGGTTTTGTTTGTTTGTTTCTTTTTGTGGCAGAACTGGAGATTGAACTCAGGCCCTTGCGCTTGCCAGGGAAGTGCTTATTCCACTGAGCCATCTCCCCGGCCCCTTGCCAGAGGGTTTTGATCCTTCTGGAGCCCTAAAATCATACCACTTGTCTCTCTCTCTCTTTTTTTTTTTTTTTCTCCTCGAATGCCTTCAGGACAATTTTGGCGGCTGGAGTGTTGTGGGGATCCAACTCCAGCAACCTGAGGCTGCCAGCTTTGTGGAAGCAGCCACTTAAAGAACTGAGCTAGGGCCAGGCCCCCCACTTGTCTCTTTTATTTAAGCCTTTGCCCTCCTCTCTTTTGAGAGGTTGCGGGCCTGAACAGTCCGAGATGCTGTGCTGAGTCCCAGGCTGCCGCCTCTCTTATCAGGCCCTGGCACGCCTGGGTTCCCACGAACACACCCAAGGCTGCAGCCCGGCCTCTCCCTTCCAGGGTTATTCACGACACCCAGCAGGGCCGGGAAGCAACCATCCCACCTCAGCTCCCTGACCCCCATGGCCACCTCCTCTCCTGAGCCCTGATCGTGTCACCAGAGTCTTGGTTAGGACACAGTTACACCGTGGAGAAGGCTGGCAGGAGAGCAGAGAGCCGAAAGGAGCTAGGCTGTGGGGTGGTACAGGGAAGAAACTGCCAACCTGAAAGATACCTGGGATGAGTCTGTGCTCTCTAAAATCGAAGCGTGAGTTTTAGGAATAACAGAGGCAACAATTCTTAGCTGGGTGTCCTGCACCCAGCACCATGCTAGTTCAGCTCAGCTGGGTGTAAGAAGTTGGGCCCAGGAATGTAGCTCAGTGGCATAAATGCCTGTCTGGCAAGCACAAGGTCCTGAGTTTGATCACTGCTACAAAAGAAGTTGACCATCAGTTAGAAATGCACTACACTCATAAAGATCAATCAATCAATCAATCAATCAATCAATCAATCAGTCTTTTTAAAAAGCAAGCAGGCATAAATACAGAACAGGGGCTTTTCCTGTAGGAAGTTGGGTTAGCGGTGCTTCCTGGAGTTTTCAAGGTAATAGAGACCTATTTAGAATACCAGTCCCTGATGGCCATCCCTGGGGAGGCATGTGGCTGGCTGCATGTGTCTAATCTGTCCCGAGGAAGGGCCCACAGCAGAGATGCCTGTGTCTCTCACAGCTGCAAGGCATCTGGCCTTAAGCACTGGCTCCTTCAAGGGCCCAGCCCTGTCTGACTGCCTATAATATTTCTGTCTAACTCGGCTGCCTACAGCCGGGGTGGGGCGGGCCAGAGAGTGGCACAGAGGGGACCGAGCCTGCTGCCTCAGGTGGCTACAGGAGCAATCCCTCCGGCTCTCGCCACCTTGCACCCTCCAGCCTTCCTGCAGGCTGAGCTTGCTAAACCCTGCTACCCACAGGGCCTGCAGCCACAGAGGTGGGGTTGATCGAATGTTCATGGCAGCAGTGCCCACCAGGCCAGAAGGTGGAGGCAGCCCCAGGGCTCACTGATGGGTGAATGACAGACCACATGTAGTATATACCCACAGAGGAATATTACATGACCATAAAAGGGATGTGCTTCTGACACATGCTGTGATATGGATGAACCAGTCACAGACACCCACTGTATGATTGTTCTTTTTTTTTGGCAGAACTAGGGATTGAACTCAAACCCTTGCATTTGCCAGGGAAGCGCTTATTCAACTGAGCCATCTTCCCAGCTGTATGGTTGTTCTTATCTGTGATACTTAGCGTAGTAGTAAAAAAATCATAGAGTTAGAAAGCAGAAGGGTAGCTGGGTGTGATGGTGCAACTTGTAATGCCAGAACTCAGAGGCTGAGGCCGGAGAATCCCTGTGAGTTTAAGACCAACGTGGGCTACACAGTGAGCTCAGTGCCAGGCTGAACTACGTAGTGAGATCCTGTGCTCCCAAAACTTAATAAATAAAAGTGTCCTAACCTCTCCTCAGCCCCCACTAACCAGCTCTCGCGGGCACAGTGCCCTCCGCATGTGTGAGTCAGTGCTCCATTGGACCTGAGGTG